TATTAGAATAAATATTTAGATTATAAAAGGATCTATCCTTTTTTCTGGTCAAGCTAAGCTAACTGGATCACAAATATGTCCGAAACGTATCAGAATAAGCTTAGTCAAGATTTAGTTTATTGATCTACAAGCAATCAAATTGAAGAAAATGTAATAGACCTTATATTAGGTTTTCCACGTAAGTGGATTTTACTTGCGCACAATTACGAGCCCTGTAAACTCCGCGCAATTACGAGCCCTGTAGAAAAAGATATAAATACTAAGAATCTAGTTTTAATGGAAGAACACTGGGAAGAAAGTGAAGGTTTACTGAGTCTAAATCACCGTAAGTTTCGATTTTTCTTATGGATTGATAGACATCTATGTTGTGACAAATAGGTTAAAAATTCCTGCCATTTTTAAATGAAAAAATCTCCATAAAAAGTGAATATATATTTTATTAAATTTTCTATCGTCTACCATTAGTCTCTCTCTTTAAAACCTCAAGTACACCCCCCTCCCCCCCCCCTCCTCTTCCTACCAACTTCCTACCACAACAATTGTAAATTAAACGCAAGTAGTAAACTGCAATGCACTGATGCCCCAAGCATGTTTAGCACTTTAAAGACACAAACAACCATTCAAATAGTGCAAAAATATAGTCCCCCCTTTAAATAGCGCAGAATCTAGTCCCCCCTTTAAATAGTGAAAAATCTAGTCCCCCCTTTAAATAGTGCAAAATCTAGTACCCCCTTTAAACAGTGCAAAATCTAGTCCCCCTTTAAATTTTATAGAAACTAGACTTTTAGGGCGCTTTGCTCCCATCTTTTTTTTCTATTGTGAACATTTTCTCTTTTTATACATTGTAAAACAAAAAACAAAAAAAGTTCGCCGATTTTACAAAAAAAAAATTTCGTGGTTTTTCAAAATTTAATGAAAATTCAATTGATGGAGGTTAATTTTGAAATTTTGATCGTCCATAAACCTTCCCTGGGGTCATTTGAGGTCCCACACAAAATTATAATTCTTTAAGGATTTGTTTTTCTAATTTGATAAAATACTTCAAAACTTCAAGAATGAAAATATTTTTCAAATAAAAATTTAATATCTTAAATTCTTTCTATTTTATTTCCAAATCTTCGCCGTAACAGAAGAAGTTTCGACATCTTAAAAACGTTTGTCCCCTATGTAACTTTTCAAAAACGTTTGTCCCCTGTATAACTTTTCAAAAACGTTTGTCCCCTTGTAACTTTTCAAAAACGTTTGTCCCCTGTATAACTTTTCAAAAACGTTTGTCCCCTGTATAACTTTTCAAAAACGTTTGTCCCCTGTATAACTTTTCAAAAACATTTGTCCCCTGTATAACTTTTCAAAAACGTTTGTCCCTATATAACTTTTCAAAAACGTTTGTCCCCTATATAACTTTTCAAAAACGTTTGTCCTATGTATAACTTTTCAAAAACGCTTGTCCCCAGTATAACTTTTCAAAAACGCTTGTCCCCTGTATAACTTTTCAAAAAGTTAGAATGAAATCTTTAAGGAAGACAATGTAATGTTTTGTTTAGATAAACCTCATATGAAATAGAATTTTCAAATCCGCAAACTATTTTTTCCCGAAGCATAGAACGTTTCACAATAATTGATACAATGGGCTCCTTTAAACATCGACCAAATACACAAGAAAAAGTTTAAACAACGCACCTCTGCCCCTTTAGTAAAATAAAATGCAACCTATATAAGGCATTAAGTCTGACCGCGTCAACCATGTTGTACCGGCTATAGTCCTGTCCAAAGAGCTAGGTACAGTACAAACTAGGACCGGAAAGGTTGACCGGCTCGGAAATTCAAATGTACTACGGCTGCCCGTGAAAGGTTAAAGCGTTCAAAACAGTAATCACAAAATTCATATAGTTTCAACGAACACATGCCCAATTTCAATACACTTTAGCATATCATAATATCATACTTCTATTCCTTTCTATATTGTCATTTTTTGTGTGATACCCTAGCTGTATCCTGTATGTTGAATAGACGATGGAAAACTTTAAACAATTACTTTTTAAATCTTTAAATTAGTAATTAGAATCGTGTAGGTCATCATAAAAATAGTAATTGTATAATTACCCTTTGTAATTATATAACATTTAGACATTTTATATTTAAACGTTGTCGAATAAAATTAAAAATGGCAGACAAACAATTAAAATTCAAGATGTCGGGGTAAGAAAACATATGGCGAATTGCACTTTAGATAAAAGGATGGCCGAACACGGAAGCATGCATTTATAAAATGCATTACACACATGGGAGTCGAATAGGAAGCGGTACGTGTTTAGGAAAAGCAAGTTGGGCATGGAGTTCCCATAAAAATGAAAATTTATGACGCTTACTTATTAAACATCATCTTTCCTCAGTCAAAATTTGATCAAATGTTTTTGTTAATTTGAAGTTTTAAAAGGAGTTTAAGCTACAACTATTTCATTCAAATAGAAATAAAATTTTGTACAAAATTCCTGACATTAGATTTCAGATAAAAATGGTTGTATTGTAAATGTACCAGCCGACCAGAAATTATCTGTTTTGTGACCATAGAGAATAGAATATATGTATATAGAGGGGAATTTACTAGAAAAAAGTGTAAAACGGCCATTTTGTTGTACTGTTTCCATACTGCAGGTGTACTTCACATATTTATGCTATATAACCTTTTGGGCCCTGGAATATCAATTTATAGAAAATCTAAAATTAATGTTATAAAGAAAACCAAATTATGAAATAGGCTGGTTTCATAATTCACCAATGATCATTTCACAACTTTATGCCTTTCACTTTACAAACGATGATTTTCCGTTATAACTATAAATAAAATGATGGTTTTTATTCACTTAATTCATTATAAAGTTTATTTAACAGCTTTAAAAATTTCGAAATTGAAATGAATAGTCTAGGGAACATACTGTATTAATGTACTCTACTGCATATAATTTGTGAACATTTACATGATTTGTACACTTTGAACTCCCTTTCAGGCTGAAAGGGACTGAAAAAATTCATACCGAGAGATTCTTTTAATTCCTCTCTAATATACATTCTATTCTCTATGTTTGTGACACACAGTTATGTACAGTGTACATGGTTGTGAAGTACATGTTTTTACTTGGACCAGACATTATTTTTTAAGTATAATACATTGTTATCTTTTAAGTAACAGATTGTTATGTACACTGTTATGTAAACTGTACAGTGTACAATGTACATGGTTTTAAAGTAAATGTTTTTACCAGGACCAGAAATTATCTTTTTAGTGACACAATGTTATGTACACTGTACAGTGTTCATGAAGTCTGTACACTGTACAGTGTACAGACTTCATGGTTATAAAGTACGTGCATATTTTTACCAGGACCAGACATTATCTATTTTTTCACACAGCAATGAAACTCTATCTGTGGTTTTATTATTCACTTTAAAACGTTTATGATTTCATCAGTTTAAAATTATTTGGAGTTATTTTTATACGTGTTTATCTTAAGAGAAAAATACCAGCATCAGAAAATTGTTTATTTTTTTCATTTTACAAAAAAAATGATAAAAATCTGTTGAAATTTAAAAAAATTGCTCCAAATTGTGAATTTTTGTAAAATTATGAAGGACCGATGGTTTATTTCCCATGCATAGATTGTTTTTAAGATGTCAGTTTGATAAACCTTTTGAAATTAAACAAATCAAGGACAAACTGGATTCACATTCAATGCATGCGCGCTTTCTGTTCATAAATCTTTTCATGCACGCACGTTCAGCTACGAAAGTAAAAAAGCAAAATTTTTTCTTTTTTCTTTTCAAAGTTTAAAAAAGGATTCGTATTTTGTTCGAATTTTGATTTTATTCGACAAGAAATAGTAAATTAATAGATATATGTTGATATAAGCTCAGATTTTTGTACAGCTGTGAAAAGCGCGTGTTTCTTGGAATTAGAAGAAATATGACATAATTGTAAATAAAGCTTTTATTTAATTAGTTTTAAGTATTTAATTAATACTTAAAGCTGTAGGGCTTCCTAGAACCTCACGTTTTGTTTTAATTCTTAAAATTAAATAAAAATGGATATTTTATTTTTGAATTTAATCATTAACATTTAATGGTGCAGGTGAAATAGAAAAAAAGTGGGTCTCTATTTAAAAAAGTGGGCCTCTATTTAAATCTATTTAAACGCTGATTTTAAGAGTTAGATTCGATGTCTTTAAATAAAGCAATGCAGGCCCGTAGCTAGGGGGGCACATGCAGGCCCGTAGCTAGGGGGGCACATGGAGGCCCGTAGCTAGGGGGGCACATGCAGGTCCGTAGCTAGGGGGGCACATGGAGGGCAAATTATCTGAGACAGACAGACAGACAAAAAAAGGAAAACATGAAAAGAAGGAAACGAAACGTGAAAGAGAGAATTAAAATTTTTTTTTGATTTTGATTCAAATAGCTTCTCAAAGGCACTTATTTGGAAAAAAACGCAATGCAAAATAGGCAAAATTTCTATCTTAATAAACTATAATGTGTGATATTAAACATTTCCCCTTTTCGAATTTTAAGTATTGTGAATTGTGTGTGGCAATGGTGCGGAGTTTCTTGAACAAGTTAAATGTATCATAACATATCATGGTTTGCTGACCTATATATATTATATATATATATATACGTTGAAATTTGACAGAGCTTTCAACGCCCTGTTGCACACGTGGGCCACTGAGCACTGTTTTCAACAATATTTTATGAAAATCATGACGTAAACTTCAGCTTCATTGAATCAGCATGCAATTTTCCCCCTAATTAGATTTGGTTAGGGTGAAAACAGACATTTTTCAAAAGAAATTATTGATTAATTTGTTTTTTAATGATATTTTTTTTATTTCTTCAGACTTGTATTTAAAGAAAACGAATTTACGGTATAACATATGTAACGTGTACAATTTCTTCAAAAGTTAATGGTTAAACATCATAATGTCCCTGTTAGTGTCGAAAAAATATGTTACCTGTGTATCTTGCACAAAATTATAATGTGTGGGTGCTGGCCCACTTGCCCCATCATCAGCACTATCTAGCGGAAGATTCGAGAATCTTGCAATTTGATCTGGCGCCAAATTTTGCAATCGTCGCGAAATGGCGTGATGAAACATTGGATTTGGCGCCATTTCTTTCATCAGAATATTCTGCATGTTTGGATCAACGTGCTCAGAGAAGGAACTTCGATCCATGCGCTGCTTCTGCTGGGAGGACGGGTTGCAAATGCTCCGGAGAAAGCTTGGTAGTCCATGGGGGCATCCGGATTCAGATTTTTCTAATCCTGGAGTAAAAACATGTCACGAAACAAATCAATCTTGACTAGTTCAATCCTGATTTTACTGGAAACGAATTGGTATCTCTTGGCTAATGGATGAAAAATCAATTGACATTTAAATTAAGAATTTTCTAAATGACCTTTGAAAGAAACGGATTTGTTTTCACAAACTTTTTTCATCCTTATATCTTTGCTACCCTATGTCGTAGACCTTAATATTTCAAACTATGTTCTCTTTTTGAGTTTGCGGCAAAAACTCATTTTTTTTGTGTCGAATAACTTGAAACAACTCCTAGATCAGTGATGAAGCGTGGTTTAAGAAAAACTTGTTGATAAATCGAAAGATAATTCCATTGATTGTCCTTCAGATAGTGAACCAGGACACTATCAGAGAGAAATGAAACGTGACCTAAAGATTCATTTGGATTAAAGCTAAATGGTTTGTATACTGTGCTTCCTCAGTTATAGTAAAATTTACATTTCCTGTAAAACTGTAAAAAGCGAAAGAAAATTGTGTGCAATATTTGTTTATATTTTACTACTTGAAGCTCAAACATTGGTTTAAAAGGATGTATCGATTTGAATAGAATACAGGGTGATTTTTAAAAGTGGATTTTTTTCAATATTCACCAAAGCAAAACAAGGCACAAGATGTACCATGCAACAAAACGATAATTTTAAAATTTACTAACTCGTTATTACATGACATTTGATAAAGAAATTAATTGCTTCCAGCATTGTTAATCTTTCTTTGCTTAAGGAGGCTCTCGATCAAACAACTTCCAAACTTTGAACCCGATATTTAGACAATTTGACTTTTTTTACAGCCCATGGGGGAGGAATATAATATTTTAAAAGCTGGAATCTTCTTATACATCTAGGGTCATTTCAAGTAAGTAAGAAATTGGAAGATTTTCCTGTTCAATTTTGCGGATATTTCATCCAATAAAGCACAAATAAAAAAATAGACTTTTAGAATTACCCAGATTCAAAGGACTGTATTATACAATTTATAGGTGACATGTCCAATTTACAATGGTACACTTAAAAACTTTGTATGATCATGAAAAATGAATGATAAATTCAAGTCGTAAAATTTTAAAATTGATTATTTTCAATTCTGGTTCTGGCAAATAAACAATAAATGAAATTGACCGAATAAAACACTGATCAAGCTGTGAAAAATATGATACTAATCGAGAATGTTATTTCAAGTTAAAAGAGGTCATGTCCTGCAATGATTTAGGATGAAATTATTTTTAAATGCGTCGAAAAAAAACTATAAATGATCGATTAAAACATGTCTTGTTCCTCTAGACTGTGAGTAGATCAGCTGATATCCAATATCTTGGGGTCCCTGAACATCTTCCTGAGGAACATCAGAGGCCCCTGAGGAGGTAAACGGTGTCTCTCTATTTTCCTGAAACTCTCTCCGATGATATTGTGGATTGATTGCCGGGGGGCGGGCTTCAAGGTTCCCGCCTTCATCCTGAGGGTAGCCGGACCTTACACCACTCTAAACAGGTGGACAAATGGATAGATATATAGATAGATAGATTGATATAAATATAGATAAACATATTGCTTGATAGATATATGTACATTGTACACTGTACACTACTGTATGTAGATAAAGATATAGATATATCCATATATATATATACTAGAAATTCAAGGCGCTTCGCACCCTTCTTTCTAGCCTTAGAGGGCGCTTCGCGCCCATCTTCTAAATTAGTTGTAAACATGTTCTCTTTGTGTACATCGTAAAACTAAACAAAAATAATTCGCGGATTTTCACCAAAAATTTCGCGGATTTTCAAAATTTTAAAAAATTTAATGACGATCGAATTTTGATAGAGACAAATATTTGAAATTTTGATGATTCATAAACCTTCCCTGGGCTCCCTAGATGTCCCACAAAAAATTTGGGCCCGATCGGTTCAGCCGTTTTGACGTTTATTGGATACAAACAAACAAACAAACAAACAAACAGACAAGCCAAATTTATATATAGATATATATTTATATAGACATTAATGAGCATAGATAGATAGGTAAATAGAAAAAACACATATTTGTTCTTTAGAATAAGTACACACTGGAAAGAATATGGCAAATATATATTCAAGTTTAAAGCACACAGATCTGAAAACTATGTCCTTTTTAATATGTCCCAATAGAGGATTTAACCATTAAAGTGGCAGAACAAGTGTTTAAATCAGCGCTAGCCATTTCTTTCAGGCCTATTTTGGAGAGAACCTTGATTATACAGTAAATAAAAGGCAGTTAAAACATTTATGAGAAAGACATTTATAGATAATATATTTATTCAGAGGCAGGACATTTTTTAGCCAGGAAAATTCAGGGACAGTGCGTTTCACAGAAACAGGACATTTCAGGGTCAGGACGTTTCACAGAGCCAGTACATTTAGAAACAGGACATTTCAGGAACAGGACGTTTTACAGAGCCAGGACATTTAGAAACAGGACATTAAGAAACAGGACATTTCAGAGCTAGGAAATTTCAGGGACAGGACGTTTCACAGAGCCAGAACATTAAAAAACAGATCATTTTAGGGACAGGACATTTTAGAGACTGAAAATCTCAAAAGAGGACATTTCGGAGACAGAACATACCTGTCTGTTAATTGTCGGCTGTCCAGAGAATTCTCTATCCTGGAAAAAAATTGAATCAATCTGTAGAACATGAAGGGGGGTAGGGAGGTAGGGGGTTTCTAGTAACATGAGAGGGAGGAGGGGGGATTGCTAGTAATTCAATTAATTAATTCCATTTCCAAGATGTAAAAATATATTTAAGGTCTCCCTCTGTGATCAATCAGTTTAATCTATCACGCTTGTGCATTACAAATATCTTTCTCACAAAAATTGAAAAGAACATTTTTTTTATTTACAAAATTTTTATTGAATTTTTAATTTGAGAAATCTTGTATGAAATCAAGGGAAAAACGTATTTTTGATTTTTCTATATAATAAAACAAGACAATTAATTGTATATGTGTTCCCATAGCCGCGTCGGCCAAACGGCTGGATCGAATGGGCCGACATTTTTTTTAGGGAACCCAGGGTGTAACATGGGCTAAAAAATCAAAATATTTTTATTTTTTATTACCACGGGAAACGCCAACCTCTTCAGCTAGTCTTTTATAAAAGAAATCATTATGTATAGTCTGTAAATTGTAGCCACAGGGAAAATATAAGTGATAAATACTTTTAATACATGTTACATTAACAATTTATACTTTTCATTGATCTTTTTTCCTAGTTTATCCTAATAAACACCTATATAAATATGAGTAAAAAAGTAGATGTTAGTTCCACATTTATTGAAAATATATTTCGGTCTGGGTTGACCCTCGTCAGTTCTAACGATATAAAAACCATCAAAAACGATAAAAAAAATTTTTTTTAAATGTAAAAAATCACAAGAAGATAAACAAACAAAACAGATCATTCAAAATAAAAATTTGGGCTGTAAATGGACATAAGGGAAATTAACTCAGATTATGAGATGGAAAAAAGATAATATGCAATTATTCACTTTTAAAAAAAATGTTTTAAGACAATTATTATTCCTTGAGATGTTTCTTCACAAAGATTAAAAACAAACTGTGTAGATGTATGTGTATAGAGTGGGGGTCGATCTAATTATAAGTTTGCTATTGTACAGTATACAGTGTACAGTGTACAGTGTAAGTTTAGAGTGTACAGCATGCTGTTAAAGTACAAAATTAGCAGTGAGTTCACAGGACATGAATATGACATGTGCCCCTTTTCTTTACTGTTCATTGTTTCTTTATCTTACCGTGTTATAATTGACATTCGACCAGGGAGTAAGGAATAGAAGATATATATTTATATAGACATTAATGAGCATAGATAGATAGGTAAATAGAAAAAACACATATTTGTTCTTTAGAATAAGTACACACTGGAAAGAATATGGCAAATATATATTCAAGTTTAAAGCACACAGATCTGAAAACTATGTCCTTTTTAATATGTCCCAATAGAGGATTTAACCATTAAAGTGGCAGAACAAGTGTTTAAATCAGCGCTAGCCATTTCTTTCAGGCCTATTTTGGAGAGAACCTTGATTATACAGTAAATAAAAGGCAGTTAAAACATTTATGAGAAAGACATTTATAGATAATATATTTATTCAGAGGCAGGACATTTTTTAGCCAGGAAAATTCAGGGACAGTGCGTTTCACAGAAACAGGACATTTCAGGGTCAGGACGTTTCACAGAGCCAGTACATTTAGAAACAGGACATTTCAGGAACAGGACGTTTTACAGAGCCAGGACATTTAGAAACAGGACATTAAGAAACAGGACATTTCAGAGCTAGGAAATTTCAGGGACAGGACGTTTCACAGAGCCAGAACATTAAAAAACAGATCATTTTAGGGACAGGACATTTTAGAGACTGAAAATCTCAAAAGAGGACATTTCGGAGACAGAACATACCTGTCTGTTAATTGTCGGCTGTCCAGAGAATTCTCTATCCTGGAAAAAAATTGAATCAATCTGTAGAACATGAAGGGGGGTAGGGATATTAAATATGCGGAGAACTACGTATTGTGCAATACTATAGAAGTTCCAGAGCTTGGGGCACTGAATAATGAATGCTGAATGAAGTAATGCTATTGTACTGTACTGTACTGTACTGTACTGTACTGTACTGTACTGTACTGTACTGTACTGTACTGTACTGTACTGAATAATGAATGCTGAATGAAGTAATGCTAGACCATACAGATAAATTTATTTACTGGTTTATTGACAGTTTATTTTGACATACCTACCCCCTCTCAACCCTCCCTTCCTTTTCTCCCACATCCTTTTCTCCCCCCCACTTTCTCTCCTCATTTCCCCTGTACAATGTACATATATTTTCTTGTTAACATACGTTAAAGTTAAAAAGTACTCCTCCAATGATTCAAAATCTAAAGAAACTACTTTGTTTTGAATCTTCAAGACAGAAAGAATCTCAAGAAATTACGAGGGTCAAGCCAGATCGAAATATATTTTCAATAAAATGTGGAACTAATATCACTTTATTTACTAGTTATATCTAGAGGTTTGGTCCATCATTATCATCAAATTTTTAAACTACTCAAACAGGTAATATGCTTATAAGGAGCTAAACCCAACTATTCAATTAAAAGAAACTTGAAACAGCTTAATGTAAAAGATAAATGTAAATAAACAGATAAAAGTAAACAAACAGATAAATGTAAACAAACAGATAAATGTAAACAAACATATAAATGTAAACAAACAGATAAAAGTAAATAAACAGATAAATGTAAACAAACAGATAAAAGTAAATAAATAGATAAATGTAAACAAACGGATAAAAGTAAGCCAACAGATAAATATTATTAAACAGATAAATGTAAACAAACAGATAAATGTAAATAAACGGAAAAATGTAAATAAACAAATTAATGTAAATAAACAGATGTATGTAAATAAACAGATAAATGTGAACAAACGTATAAATGTAAACAAACAGATAAATGTAAGCCAACAGGTAAATGTAATCAAACAGATAAATGTGAACAAACAGATAAAAGTAAACAAACAGATAGATGTAAACAAACAGATAAAAGCAAGCAAACGGATAAATGTAAACAAACAGATAAATGTAAATAAGCAAATAAAAGTAAAAAAACAGATACAAGTAAACAAACAGATAAAAGTAAACAAACAGATAAAAGTAAACAAACAGATAAATTTAAATAAACAGATAAATGGAAATAAACAGATAAATTTAAATAAACAGATAAATGGAAATAAACAGATAAATTTAAATAAACAAATAAATGGAAATAAACAAATAAAAGTAAACAAACAGATAATTGCAAATAAACAGATAAATTTGAATAAACAGATAAACGGAAATAAACCGATAAAAGTAAACAAACAGATAAATGTAAGCCAACAGATAAATGTAAACAAACAGATAAATGTAAACTAGCAGATAAATGTAAGCAAACATATAAATGTAATCAAAGATGAAATCTTAATTTGTAGATGACCTGCTGAGAAATACAATTCCTACAATTTAAATTCTACAATAATTGTAAACTCTAGATCGAAAGGTAGGATTGCACAGTGGTTTAATCTATTGTATAAGGAGGGGCATATATAGGATTGCACAGTGGTTAAATCTATAGTATAAGTTGGGGTATAGATAGGATTGCCCAGTGGTTTAATCTTCAGTATAAGGTGGGGGATAGACAATATTGCACAGTGGTTTAATCTATAGTATGAGGTGGGGCATAGATAGGATTGCACAGTGTTTTAATCTTTAGTATAAGATGTGGTTGAACTAAGTAAAGCTGGTTCAACTACTTTATTTACACCGCCATTTACAAACTGAACCAGTAGTAGAACCGAAAAAGATTTTTTTATCATCTTAATCTTGGGTGTAAATGAATAGTACGAGAGGTATTATGTCGCAAAGTCGTGTTGAAATTGATAGGATGCATAAAAGATGTGTGTGGAGGGGGGGGGGGGNAACATATGATGCAGGCCCCCCCCCCCACTTTTTCTCCTCATTTCCCCTGTAGAATGCACATTTATTTTCTTGTTAACATACGTTAATTGTTTAAATATTAAACACATGCCACGTCATCCTAATACCCTGAGAAAAGTTAAAAGGACTTCTTTAATGATTCAAAAACTAAAGAAACTACTTTGTTTTGAATCTTTATGACAGAAAGAATCTCAAGAAATTACGAGGGTCAACCCAGACCAGAAATATATTTTCAATAAAATGTGGAACTAATATCACTTTATTTACTAGATATTTCTAGAGGTTTGGTCCATCATCATCATCCAATTTTTAAACTACTTAAATACGTAATATGTTTATAAGGAGCTAAACCCAACTATTCAATTAAAAGAAACTTGAAACAGCTTAATGTAAAAAATAAATGTAAACAAAGAGATAAAAGTAAACAAATAGATAAATGTAAAAACAGATAAAAGTAAGTAAACAAACAGATAAAAGTAAGTAAACAAACAGATAAATGTAAATAAACAGATAAAAGTAAATAAACAGATAAAAGTAGACAAACAGATAAATTTAAATAAACAGATAAATGGAAATAAACATATACAAGTAAATAAACACATAAATCTAAATAAACAGATAAATTTAAACAAACAGATAAATGTAAACAAACAGATAAATGTAAACAAACAGATAAATGTCAGCCAACAGATAAATGTAAACAAACAGATAAATGTAAACAAACAGATAAATGTAAGCAAACATAAAAATGTAATCAAAGATGAAATCTTAATTTGAAGATGACCTGATGAGAAATACAATTTCTACAATTTAAATTTTACAATAATTGTAAACTCTAGATCGAAAGGTAGGATTGCACAGTGGTTTAATCTATAATATAAGGTGGGGCATAGATAGGATTGCACAGTGGTTTAATCTATAGTATAAGGTAGGGTATAGACAGGATTGCACAGTGGTTTAATCTATAGTATAAGGTGGGGTATAGATGGGATTGCACAGTGGTTTAATCTATGGTATAAGGTGGCGTATAGATAGGATTGCATAGTGGTTTAATCTATTGTATAAGGTGGGGCATAGATAGGATTGCACAGTGGTTTAATCTATAGTATAAGGTGGGGTATAGATAGGATTGCACAGTGGTTTAATCTTTAGTATAAGGTGGGGCATAGATTCGATTGCACAGTGATTTAATCTTTAGTATAAGGTGGGAAATAGATAATATTGCACAGTGGAATAATCTATAATATAAGGTGGGGCATAGATAGGATTGCACAGTGGTTTAATCTTTAGTATAAGGTTGGGAATAGATAATATTGCACAGTGGTTTAATCTATTATGTCGCAAAGTCGTGTTGAAATTGATAGGATGCATGAGGGGGGGGGGGGGGTGTAAATATTTCACCCTACCTTGACAACATATGATGCAGGTTGAGGGTTCCACACGTTAGGTTCACCCTGTCTAGTATCTAGCCTAGGAGGATGGTCAGAGACCTCAGGGATCCTAGGGCCAAACACTCCCTGAAGACCTCGGTTAGGGGTCCTTCGGTAGTTAGGGACACCGTAGGGGTTTCCCAGGGGGAACACAGAACCCTGAGCAGGGACTGGAGGGAGTTCAGGGCCGACAGGATAAACCTTAAAAATTAATATTGTTCGTTTTTTTCTTTTATTTTTAGAATCCAATTAGAATTTTTCAATTTATTTTGCCATTTATTTGTCTGACTCTGTTCCTGTTATACAAATAGAATAATAGAAAAATAACGTCTTCTTAGAGAGAGAAACTTGAGGACATAATGACGTCAGATCAAGACAAGTTCTATTAATAAAGTTTCTTTATTTATTATACTAAATTAAAGATGAGATATGGAAAATATTGATAAAACTGAGAAACTAAAATCATAATTTTCCTCAAACACAGTAACATACTTGATTTCATTTTGAACTGATAAACCTGATATATAGCAAACAAACTCAAGTTTATCCTTAAACTGATAAACCTTAAATAAACCAAACAAACTCACGTTTATCTTTAAACTGATAAACCTGATATAAACCAAACAAACTCTAGTTTATCCTTAAACTGATAAACCTGATATATACCAAACAAACTCAAGTTTATCCTTAAACTGATAAACCTGATGTAAACCAAACAAACTCAAGTTTATTCTTAAACTGATAAACCTGAAAAAAAACCAAACACACTCCAGTTTATCCTTAAACTGATAAACCTGATATATAAAAAACAAACTCAAGTTTATCCTTAAACTGATAAACCTGATATAAACCAACAAACTCAAGTCTATCCTTAAACTGATAAACCTGATATAAACCAACAAACTCAAGTCTATCCTTAAACTGATAAACCTGATATATACCAAACAAACTCAAGTTTATCCTTAAACTGATAAACCTGATGTAAAACAAGCAAACTCAAGTTTCGATAGTGACTTCCTAATATTACTTACCTGTGGATTTTTATTCTTCAACTCGAACTGATAAAAGTCCTCGTTAACGATATCTCCGTAGGACCTATCTGTGGTTTCTATAGTTGGCGGAGTGGATAGAAGAGATACAGGTATATACATTCCTTCAGAATTATCATTGTTCCTTTTCTCCTCTCTCTCTATATCTACCCTTCTACCGAATCCTTTGTCTCCGGGAAATCTGGATATTTTTTAATCAATTAATTTTACTTAAGTTATAATTTGTATTATCAATCTTTGATGAAAATTGGCGTAGACAGATTTCTAAGATAAAAAAACCGGATTTAATTGATTTGAATTATTAAAAGGTTCTATAAAGAGGTTAGTCTAACTCTAACATTGTTTAAATTATTTGCATTTTTTTCCATATCATTTTCTCTACTGAGAAAATCTTTGGATTATTTTTCGATTCTTAAAAATTAATTAACAATTGGATTAACAAGAGTTTTCTTCCTAAGTTCAGTGCAACACATTTTTTTCAACTTTTATTTATTACATTACTGCCACTAAACTCGTGCTTTTTAAAACAAATTATTATTTAATTAACTCTTTCAGCTTAGACGATTCTACACTCCGGCCTTTTCCAACTTTCAAAGCTTTATAAACAACTTTATTTTAAATTTTTTTTTTCACCTGAATCTGTCAGCTGTCGGGTCCCGTCGTCTTTTCTTTGGTCTGAACTCTTCAAAAGGGTCGTCCACGTAGTATATTCCGGATTTAAGAGGTTGCGGCGCACTCGCTTCTCGGTAATCCTCGATGTCTATGCGCGGTGATGCCTTGGTGTGATCTAAAAGTTTAACTTTGAAATTAAATGTGATATTTGATACATTGTTTCATTCAAAATTTGATCTAACTGAAAGAAGTAGGTAATAAATAAAAATATAAAGAAATATTTTTTAAAGTTAAAATTTGTTATTTTGTTTTTCTGATAAAAGAACAATAAAGATCTGAGTCTAAAACTAAAGAATGCGCGAATTTTAAGTTCGAGGTTAAAAGTTCTGTAAAATAATGAATAGCTACTTTAATATTAAACTTTCTCAATTTTAAATTGGAATTTCCCGGGGAAAATCTGAACCAATCAGAGAAAAGGATTTACGGAGAATTATTACGTAAGTATCGGTATATGGTAATCAGCTGTTTGTTTTAAATTTTAAATTATTTAAGTGACGGAATTTGGAAAACAAAACATATTTACAGTTACAACCGTATTTTGGGTTTACGTGCAAACATTAATTAATCTAAAACGTGAAATTAAATCAAGATTTTTACTTTTAAATATATCGTAATTAGTTGAATGCCGCTTACCACTGAATGATGATATACAAATAAGGATTGCGGGATTTCAAGATTTTAACCCTGTGTTTAAATTTTAACTCGTCGATTTTGGCGAGTTAAATATTTAATCACAGGGTTAAGGTTTAAGGTTTAAATTAAGTCAGAAGTGGCATTTAACCGTAAACTTAAAATTTAAGTCAAAACTTTTCGTTCTTTAGTTTTAGACTCAGAACGTTTAAACATTTCAAACATATTTTTTTCTTTTTTTAAGGAAACCTTTTTAATGTAAAAACATATATTTAAATAATTGAATTCTTTCTTGATCAACAAACGTATTGATCATTTAATTTTTTGCCATCTTTTTATCTTTTTGATGATTTGAACAATTGACCTGGAATTAGTGATGTGCATTCTGTTGGTTCTTGTTTGGATCGTTTTTTGCCAACATTCACTTTTAGGGTCCATATTTGGCAAAAGAAATTTCTTGGCATTTTTTCATATTAAACATTTTGTAAGATTTTGACCCTGGCAGAAAATATAGCCCAAAAACGAAACAAATTCGAAAAACTGACCTGTTATAACGAACGTGTTACAAGGAACGAGTGATAACGAACAAGTTATAACAAACGTGTTATAACGAACTTGTTATAATGAACGTGTTATAATGAACATGTTATAACGAACGTGTTACAAGGAACGTGTTATAACGAACTTGTTACAACGGTCATATATTATGACTAACGTGTTATAATTACAAGTAACTACCTGGGATGATGTTTCCTGGTTCAGCTTTGACAACACGATGTGAACTATGCGCCTTGTAAACATGAACACGATCAGGATTATGGATCCCGTCCTCTAAACAAAAAAATAAAATTAGGTATCTCGTTGCACCGGAATTTTGCGGAATTGCGCTATTTTGTGTGAAATTGCGCGGAATCATGGGGTTTGCAATCGATTTCAAGTAAACGCAACTTGTGTTGTAAACCCTAGTAGTAACCCATAAAACTGTGAAGTAGGAAGACGACTATCGGACGCTTTAGTTATGATTTCAAATACAGTGATAACCAGAAAACTCTGAAAAAGGAAAACGACTTTATAGCAATACTTAAGTGTATTTTATGTTGTTACAAAGCAAATGGTTTTACTAGACACTTATTAAATCAATAAATAAGTAAAATGGGTCTGTTTACACTGCACAATTGCTGTGTCTATGCTTATTCGACTATTTTAAGGCATAAATTAAGTTTAAAAGTCGTCTTCCTATTACAGAGTTTTCTGGTTATCACTGTAGTCCCATAAACAATTGCTCTGTGCTATGCTTATTAAGGCATAACTTAAGTCTAAAAGTTGTCTTCCTATTACAGAGTTTTCTGGTTATCACTGTAGTCCAATTTTCATGAAAAAGCAGAAATTTTACATTTTTACGCTTTTGATGCCCCTTTGACAACATCAAAAACACATAAGGCTTCCTAAGTGATTACCGTTGGATCTGCCGGTTTCTGGAGATAGATATATCTTGGCTTTTAGAAATTGATCTGTAACTGCACCCTCTCCAAACGGGTCGAATCTAAGATTTATAATTAAATAATTTCCAAACTTGAAGTTTGTAAAGGGGGGGGGGGCGTTGGGGCCGAATATAACAAAATATAATGTAAAATTAATTTGCGAATAAATTTAGATCAATAATTATTTCAAATTTAAACTAATTATTTTACGTTTCTTTAAACTATTTTATCAAAAGTTTCTTGAAAAATTGTTGTTAACTTTGTTTTATAAAAGTCGATAAAAAATCTCATATTTGGGGTTCATTGGATCATTTCATCTTTAGGAATATGTTCCTTGTGTTTTATCTTGAGGAACTGTTCCTGGTATTTTATCTTGAGGAACTGTTCCTTGTATTTTATCTTGAGGAACTGTTCCTTGTATTTTATCTTGAGGAACTGTTCCTTGTATTTTATGTTGAGGAACTGTTCCTTGTATTTTATCTTGAGAAACTGTTCCCTGTATTTTATCTTGAGGAACTGTTCCTTGTATTTTATCTTGAGGAACTGTTCCTTGTATTTTATCTTGAGGAACCGTTCCTTGTATTTTATCTTGAAGAACTGTTCCTTGTATTTTATTTTGAGGAACTGTTCCTTGTATTTTATGTTGAGGAACTGTTCCTTGTATTTTATCTTAAGGAACTGTTCCTATAAAGGGACTGAAATTTTAAGTTCAAATGACTCCTCATTAGCGATTCACAGCGGGGCCTCTAAATGATTTGTCAGATCAAGAATGAATGAGAAACACTAAAGAAAATTATCAGAATTAAACACTTTTTAACATCATTAATCAGTTTCAGGTTTAAAAGATACCGCTGTGAATCGTGCAGGCGGTTCCCTCATAATATGGAATGTGTATAACTTGAAATTAAGTCTACATTTCCTTAATTAGTTAAACTTACTGTTCTGGTTCCTGTGGACCTATGTGAACTGTTTCTAGTTCTGGTGGTATATAGTGCATTGTTGGGTCCACCAGGGGATGCCCGTAATCTATCGGCTTCCACGCCTAAACATGTGTTTAATTACAAAAGTAGAGTTCTGAGGGAAAAAATGGGTTTCAAATCAATATAAGGATTTAAAAAACAAAAACATTTAAAATACGATGTGACCTATCATATATAGTGATGTGCCTTCCTTTGTCTCGTTTTTGTCTCGTTTTTGACTCGTTTTTGTCTTTTGTATATAAATATATTGTAAGAAAAACCGACTCGTTGAATATTTGAGAAACTCAGTGCATTGCTTTATTGATTTTATTCATATACAATAATATTGTAAGAAACGAAAATGTTTTTATAAATTGTTAATTACAACATTTGTTTTTCTCACACTATGTCACTTTTTTATCCTGGCAGAAGATATAAAAGAGCCAAAAAGATGCAAAAATGAACTTTTTTTTCTAAAAAGGATCCAAACCTATTAACAACAATACCCATAGAACTGTGAAATAGCGAAATGATATTTAAGCAATCTTTTGCGTATTTACGAAACAAGAAGTTTTACCAGTTGATTGAAAATTAAAAATCAGCTTATAATGTAAAATGAATCTGTGTACACTGTACAATTACTGTTTTTCATTTTTATTGAAATATTCAAAAAAGGAATTGAGTCTTTGTAACAAACTCTGATTTTCTAATACATCTATTATTTCCACCTGATGGTGTAAACCTTTGATATTTCAAACTTAGATTTTTTCATCTGACAGTATTCATAGTTTGAAATATCTAAGGTCTACGGCATTGGATTACAAAGATGGGATTTAGAAAAGCAGAGTTTGTGGCAAAGACTCAATTCCTTTCTTAGCTTTATGTGGCTCACTCAGGGAATAGGAATAAAAGAAAGGGAAATGGAGCTGGTCTGGCATGAGAAAGCCAGTCGCGCTGCTTTGCAGACGAGTTCGGTATCACACACGCACACTCTTTTGGTACAGACGCACACACATGACGTTTCCACCCTTGGGCTCATTGTATTTAAAAATTGTTTGAATTTTAGATAAGTTTATTTGTTTGCAATAAGTTAAGTTTTAAGCCCATTTAAACTTGTTTCAAAGCAATCTATCTAAATATAGACCCAGTTTTTTTAGATATAAGATTTTTTTCTCTGAGGGGTGGAGGTTGGCTGCATCGAGTTTAGGATTTCTTTCTTTTGTAAAACACTGTATTAAAATATCAAAGAGAACAAAAAAAAGAATTATACAAAATTAAAATATTAGAAATTAGAAATTTTCAAACCTGATATACATTTTCTATTTTCGGTACAGGAAACACATACTCTAAATATTAATCAATTAATCAATAATCAACCATTTTGTTACTAATTGATCCATCAATTGCTTTACTAATCAATTAATCAATAATCAACCATTTTGTTACTAAATATTTCACTTTAATCTGGGTTCTCTTTATAGAAAATTTCGTCAGAAGAAAGAAATATATATCCGGCGGATGTACTAAATGTACTAAAGCACAATGACAACAAAATCTGCTTAGTTTTTAGTTTTTATTCGATAACACGTACACACTCACATCCTCAGTACGGATAATGCGTACCCTCACATCCTCAGTACGGATAATGCATACCCTCACATCCTCAGTACGTATAATGGAAGTTAATATAAAAAAACATGAGATTTATGAAGATCTACAAGGTGAGTAAAAAAAGTGTGATTTGCGGCGCCTGGTGCAAAATTGTACCTTTTTTGTGCAACTCTCTTGTAGGGTATTTTTTTTAATATTTTTTGAAAACTTGTAATTTTTTTTGGTACTTCAATGGCCCAAAAAAAAATCCGCGAACTTTTTTCTCTCTCAAAATCAAAAGTTCAGAAAAACAAAACTGTGTAAATAAATTGTTTCTATCGAAATCTAGAATTTTAAAAAGATTGAATCACAGAATCTCAGAAAATTGGCAAAATTGTAATAAGAAAATTTTCAGTTCTGGTATAATTTTTACGGAAAAATTATTTTTCTATGGTTCTTAAGGTTTCAACTGAACAGCGTATATTTAATACTTTAGAATATCCTGAGAAGAAAGGAACTTGAGAATTTAAATAACTTTTGCGTAAAAATTTGACCAGAACTGCAAATTGCGAATTTTCTTATTACAATTTTGCCAATTTTCTGGGATTCTGTGATTCAATCTTAATAAAATTTTAGATTTAGAGAGAAATAATATGAATACACATTTTTACTTTTCTGAACTTTTGATTTTGAGAGGAAAAAAGATTCGCGGATTTTCTTTTGGGCCATTGGAGTACCAAAAAAATTTACAAATTTTCAAAAAATATTGAAAAAACACCATACAGGAGAGTTGCACAAAAAAGGTACAATTTTGCACCAGGCGCCGCAAATCACACTTTTTTTTACTCACCCTGTATTTTGAGGTTTTCGGGGTTCGCCAAGGGGTCAGGGACATAATCGGGCTTATTGATTGGGTGAATCAGAGCTAGAAACTCTTGTATAGTGAATATCGAGATCAATACTTGATATCTGGTTTTTGCTAAGCTGCAGATTAATCTAAGCTTTATTTCATATTCAGAAAAGTGTTTAAAATAAAAAATAAAAATATCGTTTGTAGAAACCGAATAGTTAATCAGAAACCGTAGAATTTTGCACGCAATTGATACGATAACTCATTGGTCGGAACCCAACAGGGATATTCAAAAAAGAGGATTAAGCCGAAAATCGAAAGTGTTCACTAAAGATTAAACAGATTATCCAGCTTTGGTATCAAACTAAGGATCATGCAAGGTTTATTTTTACAATGTATGTGTGTCAAAATGATTGGCAGATTAACAATATCCGTGAACAAAGCTTTTTAGCGCGTACAAAAACATTTATTTCTTTTTTAATTTTAATTTTTAAAATATTTGGTTCAGACAAGTGTTTAATACCAAATTTATTCTTAATATCAATAATGATTTTATTAAGCATCTTTAGCCGCTCTGAAGCCCTGTACTTTATAGTAAAGAATAGTATGCAGTTATTCTGTGTGAGAAATTTCTCAAGCTTATTAAACAATTAGTTACACAATTTTACAGCTATATATGGTCTAAAACCTGTAATCTACAAAACACATTTCTACAGTCTACAGTCTACAGTCTACAGTCTACAGTCTACAGTCTACAGTCTACAGTCTACAGTCTACAGTCTACAGTATACCAATGGGCATTTAAATGAGTTTTGGGGGGGGGTGGGGGGTGGTGGGTCTGTTTTCCTGTTCAGTGAGGTAAGGGGGGTTATTATTATTATCATAAAAGTCACCTTCTCCTTCTCGTTTCCACCGATTATGATTATGATCTGATCCTAGAACTAAACAGAATTTCAAAACTAAACTTAATCCTCCTCCTTCAAACTTCATCCTGAAACAAAAAACGCGATCAAAAGTTTGAAATGGTTTACTAAGGTTTTACTGTAGAGTTCTCATGTATTCATGTTTTTAGAAGAAATGCCAGAAAAAAAAGTGTTTCAATTAAACAATACACCTTTAAATTATCGATAAAACACACACATATATATATATAAATGACTTTTAATTACTTATTATTAACTATTCTACTTTACAGGAAAGTTAAGGGAATATTACATTACAGTCCTTCTACAGGGGAGAATCATAGGTCGGTAATGCTGGCCAAAAGACGGTAAAATTAATAAATATACAAAACCCACCAATGTGAACAGACACATCTTTACAATATTTTTAAATATACATCTATACTTAGAAGGAAACAACTGCACGATTTAGAGATAATTGTAATTAATTCTGCCATTTTGACAACATTCTCAACATTGCTTGGCGTTTCGTCAATAACTCAGTCCCTTTAATTATTTGCGTACTCTGAGTAAATTTACGATGAGGACTGGAAGAATGCGATATTTCAAGGACTATGCTGCATATATATATATATATATATATATAACTACAAGAATAAGATAATATCACGTAGAGTCAGCTATTTAAACCATTATTTAATTAAACGGGAACTATGAACTCTCGTGATTACAAAATTCCCGGATATTGTTTTTGCTTTCCCTGAAGGTGAAATATTTGTGTCTTAAATTTATGTTTACGTTTCATGGTGGACAATCACATGGTTTATGGACATTTTAAAGTTTCCACAAAAATCTAAGAAGTTTAACAAATTTTAAAATTAATTATTATATACTTGTATATAATAACAAATTATGATACAAAAGAAAATTATTCCAGTAAAGCTATGAATATGACGATCTGTAGACTAAATTAATTAATTAATTAAATTTAGTCTTTCAGTTTATACAAACCGATTGGGTCAAGAAAGAAATATATGTTTACAACTCCAGGAACTGATAAACGTGAATAAAAATATTGAAAAATTTCCGTAAATCTTTGTCTCTGAAGTCTCATCCGTTGGTTTGATCTCCTATCGAGTTAATTACTAAATTAAAGTAAACATGAAAATTTATCAATCTTCTATTGTCCGATTTGAAAAATGTTGTTTTCCTGTAAAAAGATGTTTTTTAAACCTTGATTTTTGGAGGAGTTTCTGATTTTAATGAGGTTTTCGTGAATATCAGGTTTATCTTGATTATACAAAAACAAAGCATGCTTGAAGGATAGAGATAGAGGGATGCCTTAGTTAGTCGGGTGATGAAAGGGGGGGGAGGGGAAGGGGATGCCAGGGTGGAAGGGGGGTAGGGGGCCAGGGCAGAATTTCATCACACCAACTTCCTCTCTACAGGTTTTTGCAATAATACAGCACGGATCTTTGTATGCTTGTTATGTAAATTGAACATTGTACGTGCAGTACAGCTCACCAAGGTTATAATGCAAGGAAAGTTTATTGCAGTTGCGTATACTCTGCGTACATATTGAAACCAGTGACGGAATTTGTAAACAAGAATAGATGCATCAGTGTTCGTTTAGTTTCCGAGGAGTATTGAATTTTATGTGAAAGATGAATCCCATGTCAGGCTGTGACATCAAGCTTGTGTTTACATTACCGCCCAGAGACAGTACACTGCAGTACAAAAGATGCGTACACATCTGAAATAAATTTCCTTGCATTATAACCTTGCAACTCCGGTTTATAAAACACCGTACTAACTTTAAGTTGTACAGTACCGTACATACAAACTATAGACGGGAAAACGGGACATTACTCCAAACTATAGACGGAAAAACGGGACATTACACCAAACTATAGACGGGAAAACGGGACATTACACCAAACTATAGACGGGAAAACGGGACATTACACCAAACTATTGACGGAAAAACGGGACATTACACCAAACTATAGACGGAAAAACGGGACATTACACCAAACTATAGACGGGAAAACGGGACATTACACCAAACTATAGACGGAAAAACGGGACATTACACCAAACTATAGACGGAAAAACGGGACATTACACCAAACTATAGACGGAAAAACGGGACATTACACCAAACTATTGACGGAAAAACGGGACATTACACCAAACTATAGACGGAAAAACGGGACATTACACCAAACTATAGACGGGAAAACAGGACATATAACACCAAATGCATCATTTCCTTTTTAAAAATCTTTATTCAGATATTTTTTGTTGTTCTTCCAAATATATGTACATTGTTTAAATCAGATTTTTAAGATTTTAATTTTTAAATTAAAATTAAAAAATTCGAATTATGACAATCTCAAAAAGTTTATAAAAAGTTTCAATCATATTTTGATTTGTTTTATCAATACTTTTTGAACAATTACATTAAAATTTGTATTACAGGTTAAGGGTCGAAGCATAACGTCCATCCCCCCTCCCCCCCCACCCTCTTCTAAGCATATACTGTGAATACAATAGGTGGGTTTAAATACTACTTGGTTTAATATATTAGTGAAATCAGGCAATGCATAGTTTCCCCATCCCTCCCCTCCCCCCCAGCCTCAGAGTTTCGTACTCAGTCAATCTTATTCACTCATCAGATTACCAATGGGCATTTAAATGAGTTTTGGGGGGGGTTGGGGGGTGGGGGGTCTGTTTTCCTGTTCAGTGAGGTAAGGGGGGGGGGATCTGTGGATGTTATAGAAAAGTTCGTGTTGTGGACTAGTTCATTTTATGGAATAGTTCATGTTTCATACTAGTTTATGTTATAAACTAGTTCACTTTATAGAATGGTTTATGTTACAGATTAGTTTACTAGTTTAAGTTATAGACTAGTTCGTATCATATAAGAATATATGTTATTTAATAGTTTATGTGATATATTAGTTGTTATGAAATAGTTTAAGTTACACACTTGTTAAGAAGGTTTGCCATGCATTCTTCATGTTAAAGGCTACTTTATGTTATAGAGTAGTTCATGTTATAGAATAATTCATGTTATGGACTAAGTCAGTCCATGTCATTGAATATTTCGTGTTACAGACTATTTATAGACTAGTTCATGTTATAAACAAGTTTATGTTTATAGAATAGTTGTAGTTTATTTTATATTAAAGACTACTTTATGTTATTGACTAATTTGTGTTATAGATTAGTTTATGTTAAAGACTAGTTTATGTAAAAAACTGGCGAATGTTATTGACTAGTTCATGTTATGGACTATTCATTTTTCGACTAGTTCATGTTATATACTAGTTTATGTTAAAAACTGGCTTATGTTATTGACTAGTTTATGTAATAAACTAGTTTATATTATTGACTAGTTGTTCTTATTGACTGGTTCATGTTAGAGACTAGTTCATGTTATAGTCTTATTTATGCTAAAGGCAAGTTTATGTTATAAACTTATTCATTATATAGACTAATTTATGTTATTGACTAGTTTATGTTACAGACAGTTTATGTTATAGTCTTATTCATTATATAGACTAATTTATGTTATTGACTAGTTTATATATTTCTAGATATTTTAGTCTTTCAATTACGCCCCTCACAAAATATTTTAAAGTATAGCTATATTTTTAGTGAATGTAGGGAGTAATTTATCACAGTTAAAAAAATTACTATGCATGACCGGGAGAATTTGAAGTGTTGCCATGCCACGGCCCGTTTTCAGATTCTGTTAAGATGGATTAATTTGAAAACCAAGATACAGGGTGTCCCACGAAACATGACAGTTTGTGAGTTAGTTTAGAATGTCTTCTTCAATAATATGTTGAGAGTTGTTTGATACCAAAGACAATAATAAAAATATTATTTGGGAGTCATTTTGTAGTAATTTTGATTTCAAAGTAAAATATATTTAAACCAAAAGATTTTTCTAACGAAATAAACTGCAAAAAGCCTTTATTATCTAATACAGTATAGGGAAGACGACATTCATAACTATTTATCAACTGTCATGTTTCGTGGGACACCCTGTATTATTCGTGTCAGAATGGGAACAACATTTTTCTACACTGTAATATACACTACAAGTTCGTATCTGTATATATAAAGTAGTAATCTCTATTTGTCTGTCTGTCTGTTTGTACGTCCGATCAGAACTCCTAAAATCCCTGGACCGATTTGCCTCAATTTTGATTATTAAATTCTCGGTGGAACTAAGGAAATGTTTAGATTTTTAGGCAAAGCCGGGAGCTAATAATGATAGTAAACTATAGGCCGAATTTATAGAATGTGAGCGGCGGCCTAAATTTAAGCCGCAGCTCAAATATGGTTGGTTCCACTGAAAATTGTATTAATTTTTTTCGAGATTTAAGCCGACGCTCAATTGAAACCGGGATTTGAGACGCGGTTTAAATTCATAAAATTGGGATGAATAAATGAATAATGTATCTCAGCGAAATCTCAAGAAATTCAGTTTGCTGGGGATATTTATGGGGATGGGGGGGGGGGGTGAGTTCAGTTTGGTGCAGGGAGATCATGGGGAAATTGAAGGGGGTGTAAATTCATGGTCTAGAGAAACAAGGGCCCAAAATAGAATAAAGGGTGAGTCAAAAAAAAGTGTGATTTACGGCGCCTTGTACAAAAGTGTACCTTTTTTCGTGCAACTCTCCTGTATGGAAATTTTCCAATATTTTTTGAAATTTTTTTTTTGGTACTGCAAGTGCCAAAAAAAATCCGCGAACTTTTTTTTTCTCTCAAAATCAAAAGTTTAGAAAAGCAAAAATGTGTTTATTAACTATTTCCAAAGAAATCTAAAATTTTGAATCACAGAATCACAGAAAATTGGCAAAATTGTAGCAAAGAAAATTTGCAATTTTCAGTCCTGTTCTAATTTAAAGGAAAAGTTGTTTTTCAATGGTTCTTCAAGTTTCAACTGAACAGCGTATATTTTTTAGCTTTTGAATATACTAAGAAGAAAGGAACTAGGGAATTCAAACTTTTCCTTAAAAATTAGACCAAAACTGAAAATTGCGAATTTTCTTTGTTACAATTTTGCCAATTTTCAGATAGATCAAAATCAAAATCGTAAAAATATGGGGGTGGGGGTATAGATTTAGGAAGGGGGGGGGGGTAGAGATCAAAGGGAGGGGGAAGTAAGATATGTAAAGTATGCTGTGAACGTTAAATTGTGGTTAAATTTGAGAATTTAATCAGCTTTTAATTTAACCAATTTACACCGTGTTCACATGTTCAATAGAAACTGTACACAGCACACTTAATAATATGTACACTTTACAATCACTGTATATTACAAGATATTGTACACTAAATACTGTACACTGAACACTAAAAGCTGTACACTGTACACTTTACACTGTGAACTGTGCACTGCACACTGTACGCTGTACACTGCACACTGTACGCTTTAAACTATACAACACACTGCACAATGTACATTACATTTGGTACACTGTACATTACATTTGGTACACTGTACATTACACTTGTTACTCTGTCCTCCGTACACTGTACAATAAAATTGGTTCAAAGTGCACTGTACATTATAAAAACTACCATCTAATTGTGTCTATTTCCGTCAAAATAAAATATATTAAAATATCAAAATCAATTTCAGGATTTTAGCCAAATCTGTGCTTACATAATCTCAAACATAGTTAAAACTATACATATATATATATATGAAAATATATGCATATTTAAATATTAGTTTATTTAGGTCATCATTTCAGGTTTTTAAAAATAAATTTCAGCATCTTGCATGCAATCATCTTATAATATATCAATTAAAGACGTCTAAAAAAAACGACCGCATAATTACACTCGATCACATAGATTTAGTGAATTTAATGAACAGTCAATTCTAAAAGGAATTGAGTTTTTGTCACAAACTCTGATTTTCTTATTAGTTTGAAATATTAAATGTTAACACCATCAGGTTGCAAAGATATATCGATTTGAAGGTCAGAATTTGTGGCTAAAACTCAGTTCCTTTCCTTCCATTTTTTAATTAATGAATTGAAACTGTTCTTTTCTTAAAGAGACTGTAGACGTAATTTCCTTTTACCCTCTGTGTAAGATTCACAACGGTACCCCTTTAAACATTTTTCTAAAGCAATAATAATGAAATTATCCCTCTTTTTCTATTTTACAATTGATCATTTTCAACTGCAGGTCTCTTCAAATTTGAACGAATTCAAGCTAAAAAAACAACGATATCTTCCTTATTATTTCTCAGACTGAATCTGAGACGACACTGTACACTTGAAATTCCCTTAAAAACCATTTTTGGGACACTACCTTTAATTATCTTGATTAGGTTAATTAAAGGATTATTTTCTAATAAGCTCTAGTTAATGTATAATTACTGAATCTATTAACGGCTTGTTTGTATTATTCTTGTTATATCTTCAAGGGCGGGTAGAAGAAATGTAATTAAACTTGTTTTCTCCTTCTAATTAAAACTATTTTTCATCTTATATCTTTCAGAAAATTAGTTTGACTCAATATATATATTTTTTCCTTTGCAATAAATATATCTTAAACATTCGTTGCTGTTATTATTATTTTGTTCAATAACAATTTTTGAAAAACTTGTTGATGGATTGATTTCCAAAAATAACTTTAGGATATCTTTTATCAAAAGAGAGATTTATAATTTGCACAAATAAGTGATTTGATAAACCTGAGATTGTTAATTATAAGTACGTATTAATGTAAATTATTATTATAATATTTGCAATTTAAGAAAATACATTCTCACAAAACTTTATTCACTGTTCATTTTTAAACGCCAAAGTGTTATTCGGCAGATAATATTCTAATGTACAGGGTGTCCTACGAAACATGACAGTTTGAAGCTAGTTTTGTATGTTTCTTCCATACACTGTAGTAAATATTAAACGCTGTTTGTAGTTTATTTTGCTTAAAAAATCTTTAGCTCAAATATATTTTACTTTGAAGTTAATTTTACTATAAAATGACTCCTATATAATATTTTTATTATTGTCTTTGGTATCAAACAACTTAACAAATTAGAAGAAGACATCTAAACTATTTACTAACTGTTATGTTTCGTGGGAAACCCTGTATCTTATTTTTCTCTCGATTAAATATCATTCCTTTAACTTTAAGATAAGAGACAATTTGCATTTAAAATGGATTTTTATATTTCTTAATTATAGAATCATTGTGTTAATAAAGCTTTTTCTTCAATGGATTTTTTACAAAACCGGAAAAGATGGATATATATCTTAATTCTCTTGCACCCCGAAAATATTTTAGTACATGAATCTGGCTAGCTTATATTTTGTAGAAATCGCTTAGCGTTTTGATTGTTTGAATTTTTTTTACAAAACATTTGACTGCTAATTGTGACTCTAGGAAACCAGACTAAAATATAAAACAATTAACTAACAAGACACCTTCCTAAGTCTTGAAATAATAAAAAATGTATTAGATATTTCAAACACAAAAGTGACATACTGTATGTATAGCGTTCATAGATATTGATTTTATTTCTAATAAATCACCAACCTGTATTTATGATTTTCTTGTATTTTTATTTTAATCGAATTGGTAGATTTAGTAGCTTGGGTTCTTGTGTATTTTTAGATGTTGTCTCACTAGGTTGAAAAATCCAGATTTTACATTAGAAACTGGTTTCGAGGTTATCATCTTTATCATAGCGGCAGGAATGTCAAAATTTGACGTCGATGTCGTTAAACGCGGTCACTTTCAATTTTAAAACTTCCAAATTTAGAACCAGAAAACTTCTGATTATAAAAAATCACTTTCTCGGTTTTTATGCAGATCTGTATCGGTCACTTTCAATTTTCTTTGAAACCACTGTCCATTTTTAGGCCCTGGACCCTGAAAACATGATTGTTGTTTGTTGATTTGAGGACCTTGAGCGGTCAGTACTTGGGATTAAAACGTATGTTATGTAACATATGTGGTTGTGAAGTATGACGTTGAAATATGAAATGTTTACGTAAAATTTAAACAGGGATAAGGTGCAGGAGTGGGGGCTACGTCCAGGTTTCATTTGAACAACAAGCATTCCTAAAGTTGGCAAAACTTGGCACGTGTACAAATCTTAAATGTTGCAAAACTGGGCGTATGTTGAGAAATTATAATTGGTTTCCATATAGTACTCTGCCCTTCTGATATACCGGTATGGCGCCTACTGACGTGTGGCGCCGGGTACTAAGCGCCGGCTCCACTTTCACCGGGACCTGCAATCTCAGACGGTTACTTGCACCAGCGTAAACTTGTATGAGGCCTGCAGCCACCAGAGGGGTGCTCCCCCCCGTAATCCGCCATTTTTTTAAATGGCGAAATTTAAAATGGCGCGGTCAATGAATGGTCAACAAAATGGCCGAAAGGGGGGAGGGGTGTCTAAATTTGAAAAACATCAAAATTAAGTTTTACTTGCATGAAATAATCAAAAATGTACAATTATTTATTTTTTTGAACATTTATTTCGAGTCCTCTTAATTAAATAGTAAATATATAAATATAAAGAAATAAATGATCTGAAAAGAAATATAAAGATATTAAAAATATGCAAATGAAATTCGTATGTTTGATGTTACATCAAAAGATAACATATTTTTCTAAACCTTTGAAAAACAAAAGAGTAGAAATACAACAACAGAGAAAACATTGAAATGTAACAAAATGCAATCAACATCTTAAATAGTAAAGTTTAAATAGTATATAAAAGTTATGGACATTTTACATTATTGCAATGCAAATGAAAAACAGCAACAACCATCTTAAATTTTAGAATTGACAGCTGTGCCCATGATTAAGGTAAGGGGTGTCACAAAAAATGTTGCGATTTAGTGTCGACACACAATCTAAGAACAAGTTTGTATCACATTGAGATTGCATGACTTATGAGCTTAACAAATGTGGTCTAATGTTGTTTTATCAGAAGTTTAAGTAAGCGTTTTAAATTAAGGTAATTTTAGCTCTTTCTTACATTCTATGTAGATTGTAGAAGAAGCGCTGAATATCTGTCAACGTGTAGAATAGAATAGAATAGGGTTAAGGGAAGGTCAGAATTTGAAACTTTTGCCTTACACAGAAATCAAGGTTTTTGAAAATCCATCAAGAAAGCAGTGGAAAATATGTCAAATTTTCAGTTGCTGTTGTTTAATAGTGCACTAAAGAAATAATAAATAAACAAATATAAGTGTCCTAAAACTTAAAAAAACCCTAACTCTGAATAAAAATTCAAAAAAGCGTAAGATTATTTGTAAATAAAAGTATGATTTGATTGTATGTGCTTGCAGTGCTTTAGTTCCGTGGGAATAAAAACATAATAATTGTTTGTTTTTCAATTTGAAAACCTACATTCATTATATATTTATATCTATATATAAATTTGGCTTGTCTGTCTGTTTGTACACCCAAACCATAGCGTTGTCTGGACATTTTCTGTATCTCTTGTAGCACTAAGTGGACGACCAGCGCTATCCGGACACGCTATCCAGACATTCCGCAAATTACTATACGCTATATAGACAAAAAATGAGTGCTGACAAGACCGTTTTCTGAAGTGCTGACAAAGTTCGCACACGGAAAGCTAGGGTAAATCGAAAGACAATGATATTTTCGTTCGATAAACCATCTATCTATCTATCTTTCTTTTGATCTTCCTGTTGATCTATTTATTTATCTATCAATCCTATTTATCTATCTATCCAGCTGCCAATCTATCTATCTATCTATCTATCTATCTATCCATCTACCCATCTATCAATCAGAGGCGTATTCAGGGGGGGGGGGGGGCAGGGCTATGGGGGCTAAGGGTGTTTTAGGGTGTTTTCAGGCCCCAACGGGTGCTGAGCCCCCCCCTGGAAAGAGAAAAAAATTTAAGCCCCCCCCCTGGACAAATTCCTGAATACGCCAGGATGGAAAAAGCTAGGATGGATAAAGAGCTAGGATGGAATAGTAAGGATGATAGAACAAGGATGAATGAGGAACTAGGATAGAAGAGCAAGAACGGATGAAGATCTAGGATGGAAGAGTAAGGATGGATAAAGAGCTAGAATGGAAGAGTAAGGAAGGATAAAGAGCTAGGATGGGTGAAGAGCTAGGATGAAAGAGTAAGGATGGATAAAGAGCTAGAATGGAAGAGTAAGGATAGATAGGATGGATAGGATGGATTAAATGGATTAGATGGATAGAATGTGGAAGAGTAAGGAAGGATAAAGAGCTTGGATGGGTAAAGAGCTAGGATGAAAGAGTAAGGATGGAAGAGTAAGGATGGCAGAGTAAGGATGGAAGAGTAAGGATGGATAAAGAGCTAGGATGGATGAAGAGCTAGGATGGCAGAGTAAGGAAGGATAAAGAGCTAGGATGGGTAAAGAGCTGGGATAGAAGAGTAAGGATGGATAAAGAGCTAGGATGGGTAAAGAGCTAGGATGGAAGAGTTATGATGGTAGAGTAAGGTTGGATAAAGAGCTAGGATGGAATAGTAAGGATGAAGAGTAAGGTTGAATGAGGAACTAGGATAGAAGAGTAAGAATAAATGAAGAACTAGGTTAGAAGATTAAGGATGAATAAAGAGTTAGAATGAAAAAGTAAGGATTGATAAAAAGTAAGGATGGATAGAAAGCTAGGATGGATAAAGAGCTAGAATGAAAGAGTAAGGAAGGATAAATAGTTAGGATGGGTAAAGAACTATGATGAAATAGTAATGATGGATAAAGAGCTAGGATGGAAGAGTAAGGATGGATAGGATTGATAGGATGAATGAAGAACTAGGATAGAAGAGTAAGGATTAATAAAGAGGTAGGATGAAAAAGTAAGGATGGATAAAGAGCTAGGATTGAAGAGAAAGGATGGATAGGATGAATAGGATGGATAAAATCGATAGGATCGATAAGATGTATAAAATGCACACATTTTTCTTTCAAATAAAAAAAATACAACAAACCTAATACACTTCCATTAGTTTTATTATTTTTCTCTTAAACTAGGTTTGGGGTTTTTCCTTTTTAAATCCTAGACTAGGTTCGGGTTTTCAGCTTATCTTAGATTATGGTCCCTTCCTCAGCTTATGTAGAGTTTTTTCTTTTTCCTGGTAGAATTTTATTTTACCAGTTGATTTAACATTTTTTGAAGCAGGGGTGGTTCCCCTTAATTATGTTTAATTTGATAACAAAGTGTAAAGAAATGTAAAGATGGATTGGATGGATGGGATGGATGGGATGGGTTTCATAAATTATCCCTGAGAAATTCAACCTGAAGATATTTCTCCCATATAATCCATCCAACAAAATCCGTTCTGTTTGTTTTAAAATATGTTCCAAACTTTACTGGTTAAAATTGTCTCATTAGTGCTAATAAGAGAGCAAAAAAAGTTCAACTAGTGTTGTGTTTGCGAAGAATGTCTCTATAGCCTATAATGAAAAATGAAAAATGTCCAAACAGTGCTATACAGGAGGTAAATGTCTGAGCAGTGCATCAGGAAGTGCAAATTATGTCCTGATAGTGTGCAGGGAGAAGGACAGGTTGGGTTGGATTAGATGGATGGGATGAATAGGATGGATAGAATGGATAGGATGGATAGAATGGAAAGGATTTGTAGGATAGATAGGATGAATAGGCTGGATTAGATGGATAGGATGGATAGAACCGAAGATTAAGGAAGGATAAAAAGCTTGGATGGGTAAAGAGCTAGGATGGAATAGTAAGAATGGAAGATTAAGGATGGATAAAGAGCTAGGATAGATAGAGAGCTAGAACCTGCATGTGAACCTCTCCTTGTCAACACCAGGGATGCCTGGTTTGCTTCACACCAACCAATCATGTACATAACCTGGACGAGGCATTCAAGAGCAGCAGTGATGCCNTCACCAACAGGTTCCTGAATGCAATCAAGAAGAATGACTTCCTCGACATAGAAGCCACCAATCAGCTGTTCATCAACATCTCCAAGACCGACGGGGACTTTGTGAGGCACGACTGCTCCGCCCTCTGCAATGCCCAGACAACCTCTATGAACCTCCTGAACTCCTATAACCCCCCTGCCCTCCTCCCCACCCAAGGGCTCTTCCTTCGCCCACCCTAACCCTTCACCTTATGCTCACTTCAAGGCTCCTAAAATCACTGCACAAAAGTGGTCTGGGAAAGTCAACGAATTCTACACCTGGCTCCACAACCTCCTGAATGGATTCAAGTTAGCTGACTGCGCCGACCAAGTTAAGCTGAAACTAACCCTTGAGGCCATCCCCATGGACAAACAAGGCCTCCTCAATGACGTCATGGAGTGGGAACACTTCAAGGAAAGATTAACTGAAGAATTTGGAAGCATTGACGTCTATGGTAAAGATATCAACCAAGATTTCGCCCTCCTCCTTTCGACCTCGAAAACCCTCACAATGTAACCCTCACTCAGCAGCAAGTCCAAAACATCATGAGAAGTCTGCCTCTGGAAGTGAAACTGTCTTTCAACGAGAAATATGCCGATTTCAGAGACCTCCGCCCTGAGAATGTCAGATCTCTGATCACTTTCGGTTTCCTTGCTCAATTTGTTTACAAGATGGAGAAAAACTATCGAGCAAACCACAGCCTCTATGACCTCGACTTCTCCCCAGCAAGCATCAGGGTCAAGGTAACCAGGCCAGAGCCACCCAAGTCCTACTCCAAGCCTCAATACTCCGCAAATGTTCCCAGGACAAAACCCAGGCACCTTTCGTCACAGTTGCCAAGGTCACCACGAACAAATCAATCCCTCTGTTGGAAGACGTCCAGGTGGGCAAAGTTACCCTGGGCGTGCAGTACGACACAGGGTGTCAACTCAGCATCATCTCCAGATCAGCACTTTCAACCATGCCCCCTTCAATGAACTCCCT